GTTGGTAGTTTATGTACATGACATTGTCAATACAGGGAACGACACCGAAAGGATTTTGTCTCTCAAGTCATTTCTTCACAGTCAATTCCAAACAAAAGATTTGGGACCACTGAAGTATTTCCTAGGTATCGAAGTTATGAGAAACAAGACATGTATATTACTATCTCAACGAAAATATGTTATTGACTTACTCTCTGAAACGGGAAAACTAGGGACTAAACCATGCAACACTCCCATGATACCAAACTTGCAATTGACAAAGGAGGGGGAATTGTTTGAAGATCCTGAGAGGTATAGGAGATTGGTTGGGAAGCTAAACTACTTGACTGTAACCCGTCCAGATATTGCATACCCAGTTAGCGTTTTGAGTCAGTACATGTCATCTCCAACTATTGATCACTGGGCAGCTGTGGACCATATCTTGAGTTACTTTATGGGAGCCCCGGGACACGGAATCTTGTATAAGAATCATGGTCACACTCGGATTGAGTGTTTTACTGATGCAGATTGGGCAGGTTCTAAAGAGGATCGTAGATCAACAACTGGATATTGTGTTTTCTTTGGAGGTAATCTGGTGTACTGGAAGAGTAAGAAGCAGAATGTAGTATCTCGTTCGAGTGCAGAGTCTGAATATAGAGCGATGACACAATCAACAAGTGAAGTGATGTGGATACACAACCTTTTGTATGAGTCTGGTTTCAAAGCTCCAATTCCTGCAAAGCTATGGTGTAATAACCAAGCTGCTCTTCATATTGTATCAAACCCGGTGTTCCATGAACGAACTAAGCACATAGAAATTGACTGTCACTTTGTACGTGAGAAGATACAACAAGGGTTAATCTCCACAGGATTTGTGAAGACAGGAGAACAACTCGTGGACTTATTCACAAAGGCCCTTACTGGAACCCGAGTCAGTTATTTGTGTAACAAGTTGCGCATGATCAATATCTTTGCTCCAACTTGAGAGGGAGTGTTATAGAATATTCTGTGTGATTGAGTATCCCATATTTTAGGAAACTAAATATTGGCATACCATATCAGTTTAGAATCTGCTTGTATTTAAGGAGTGGTTGACTAACCCTAGAGACACACAGAATGAGAGAAAGCTATACAGAGGTATGCTTCTCACTGCTTTAACATAAACGACACAGTCAAATACAACCAGCGAAACCGAAATTTAAACCACAATATACAGACAGAGACATGTGCTTACAAATCCGTTAACTTCACAAGTCCCGAAAATGTATCTGGCAAGTTTCCCACCAAAAGATTGGAGGACAATATCCTGAATCATTAAGGTAGTTATTAACCCTTCAGTACACAGATAGAAAGCGCAAACCCAAAGGAAAAAGAAAAGAATCTCACAGAGATTGCAAGTTTATCAGTTTTCCAAGTTCAGAAGGAATAGTTCCCGAAAATTGGTTCCCTTCAAGATTCCTGGAATTTCAATCAGAGAATTAACGAAATTGTGTAAGGAAAAAGTGATATTTGAATATGAATTATGAAAATCCAATACTTACAGGTATGTGAGGTTGGTTAAACGCCCTAAAACCTTTGGTAATTCCCCTGACAACCGGTTTACAAGAACAGAGCTGGATCAAAAACTCTGAAATTACTATGTTGCTCGAATGCATCAATAAAAACTTATTCGTCTAAAGAAGATGAAGCTCACATGGATGTTAACGGTGCTGTGCCCCATTCTAATGGTATTGTACCACTGAGGTAATTTAATGCAAAATCTCTGAAAATCGGGGAAATTCAAATTGTTAGTTGTAGATTCGCATCAATTCAAAAAACAACTGTAAAATGTGCATATGAAAAGGCTCTTACACTTCTTGTATTTATGGAAGTTTTACCAGCTCCCGTGGGAGAACTCCGGGAAGACTGAAACCCTTTATCACATTGTATAGGTGAAAATCATTCATCATAGTTAATATTGGAAGTTGGGAATGATATTTTCTTGCTTATCGCCCTGTTTGGTAAAATAGTTAGCCTATCAGCCAATTTTGGCTTATTTGACCACTATTACCTATTTGACTTGGTTAAACAATCAATATGAGTGTTTGATTAATTAGCTTTTTGTAACAACTTATTGCTCCAAAATGTTAAAATTCAAAAAGCTGCTCAAAGTAGCTTTTTCGATCAGCTTTTTGAGAAAGTCAACTAACAGCTAATAGCTGATTTACCAAAAACTTTTCTACAATCAGTTAACGCTATCAACTAATCAAACCCACTAACTCAATCAGCTAACAGCCATTTACCAAACACCCTATATCTTTCTTTGGCTGTTACAGTTATAGACTCATTGTCGTTTCAGGTATGCCAAAGAGGTCACACTAGAGGAATTAAAGTACCCGAGCTTACTACACTACTCTTGCAACTTTAACAATAGAGCAAAGTAACAAGCCTTGTGATTAGTATGTTGCACATTGACCTCAGGCATAACTATATCACATTCAGAATACAAACATATATAAGGGATGTAAACTTACATTCTCCGAATATGGCACAATGAATCATTCCCAACGTTGCAGTTGCATTCAATAATATTCTCAGTGTACGTAACCGGTGGCTGTGGTACTACCCCCACTTCCTTACTTTCACAAGGATCAGGATCGAACTTCCAGTCTTTTGCCCCCATTGTAGTGGCGATAAGTTGCAGTGCATCCACTGAGAGACATCATCATTGAAATAAAACATCATATAACAGACAGTTGTTTCATGACTGAAACACTAAGGTTTAATAATCACCATGATCTCTCTTTTTTTTTCCTTTTTTTTTTTGAGTGACTAGGAAACCCGCAGCCACTATCCAAGGGTGCAATGGTTAAACCCCGGCTTCTGACCTTAACCGGCAAAGGACCACAAAGAGGTAAACCAGCCTAGATTGTCGGATCAAACCAAGAAGGCCAATAGACGGCTCCCATTGGGAATCGAACTTGTAACCTTGATCACCATGATCTATCTTTGACACTTGGCACATGCCATACAATTGTTGATGACAAAATTTTAAGAATTACACAGAGATTCAAGATTTTTTTAAAAATGGTATTGAGGATAAAGGTTAAAGAAATTCACAATACTTCTCAGCAAAGTGATTGTACTTTCAAATTCCAAATTAGGTAACTCTCATGCCCTCACCCTTGTAAGGTTCCTCACCATTGTAAGCCAAAGAGGCAGCAAATATCATGTAATTTTCAGAAGTCAGGACATAAAAACTGATCACCATAGCAGTCTGCTTGGCATCCAAACAATGAAACAAACATACATATAGGATAGAAATCTTATATCACTGTCAAAGATAATTATTGGGAAGAGAAATAAGAAAAGAAGACAAAATGATCTAAAGTTACTTTAAATAGCAAAATAGTTATAATAAATCTTCTTGGAACTGACTTCTGTCCCTAGTATTTTAGATTAAAGTGAAATAGAACAAAAAGGATCAAACTTTTTAAACTGCATATTCAAGAACTCAACTTTTCCCCCCATTTCATAACACTCCCAAATGTAAATATTAAAGTCAGAATGTGGATGGGCAGAAGTTTTGCCTAGAATGATTTTGGGAGGAGATTTCCGAAAGGAATTGGGTGGAGATTTCCTAAGGGACTTGGGAGGAGGTTGCCTAAGGGAAAAGCATGGACTTAAGTTTGTGTAAAGTTCTTTTTCTTGCAGGGAAAGAAATAGCATTCTAGGCACATGGGTCTAGCTTGGAAAATTCTAGACACATGGGTTGCTTTAAATAAGGCAACATCCTTCATTCATCAGATCATCACATCACATTCGAAATATACAGAAAGTATAGCAAATTTCTGTAGAGAAAAAATAGAGAGTTATATTTGTAATTCCTATTGTATTATCCTTTTGCTAATACAGAAAAATTCTTCTTCAAATTTCTTTGCTCTGTATGTGACTTATTTTTAAATCTTACACTAAAATTTATTCTCAATACTTCTAGTTCAAGTTGTTATTGTAAATTTGATGTTGTGAACCTGTTTCGATCCTAACACCAAATTCCTTGTTGGGGTTACACACTGCTGGAAATTTTCAATTTTCTGACCACTTTTCCGACCACCAAGAGAAATGGTCGGAAAAAGTGATTTTTTTTTAATTATTCGTCAAGAATTAAGTTGGACGAAAAATAATCGGAATTTCTGACCACATTTACCATGGTGGTCGGAAATGCCGATCAGCTTTACTAGGATGTTAGAAATAATTCGAGACTTTTTTTTTTTGCTCTTTGAATGTTTAAAATTGATTTTAGTGTCCGACCACGGTAGGTGGTCGGAAATCCTTATTATTAAATTATTAAATATTAATTATTATTTTCTTTCTAAACTCTCAAGTCTCAACCCCATTTCTTTTTCGCCACTTATCCCTCTCACTCATCCCCTCAAATGTTATCGACTTATCGCTTCTCTGTCTTTAACCTAGACTGCTCAACGCCACCAAGTAGAGGAGCCTTTCTATTAGGGTTATTTGTCTATTAGGGTTCTATGTTAATTTTACATACTTATTCCTAACTTATTAGGGTTGTTTGTCTATTGTATACCAATGAAAGGTAAGCTTTTCTAATTTGGTGGAGGAGCCTTGCGAGGTTAGTCTACAGATTCATTTCTTTAGTGTATGCGTGTGCGTAGAGATGATTTATTCTACAATGCTTGTTGCTCTGCTGCCACCTCCACTAGTATGCCAATACTCGTTTAGTTTATTTTTCCTAGGTTTTTGCAATTTTGCAGTTTCTTCCCGCAATGAATCTAATGCCATATAATTCTTCTTCTTATTTATTTATTTATTGTTATGGGATACCATAGTCCAAACTAGATTTTTGGTGATATTATCTTGAACCTTCAAAGTAGTCCTAGGTTATATAAGAATATGTGTAGGTATCTATGTACCTTTACACTTATGTGCCATCTAACTTGTATTGTCTTTCTTTCATCATCGTATTTTTTTATACTATATTTGGTTGTATTTTGAATATCAATGGTTTGATAATGATACTTCAGTTTATTAACCACAGGTGCAAAAGTTTCAGATTTTCACTCCAAATATTGGAGTTGTATACAGGTACTATAGCTGATGTTTATATGCACTTATATCATTTATTAACTTCTGTTGATTGGTGTATATGTCCATCTTTAGTCTTCCTAGTTCTTCTGCTTGTATTCCTAGTTAGTTGTGTTTCTACCCAATGTTCACCGTATGAGATAAGTGATAAAATTAACTGATTATAAATTAATCTACTTCTGGTTTCATGAATCATGCTTAAGAAGTTCGTCTTGAATAATATTCGTTTCTTGTTTGCAGTGACATGTGACCTGATTCTAGAGTTTTGGTTCAAAAAAGTAGGAAGCAAGCTGAACAATATCACCACCTCTATAAAGTATGAATTCTTTATGTACAAGCATTTTATTGCCATCATTTTGCTTTGTGTGCAAGAACCTTTTATGTTCTTGAACTTGGTGTGGAGGCTGGACATCAACTTGGTTGGGAACCAACGGCAGACTCATTATTATTGGTAAGCTATTTATAGGTGCATACTTATATTTTTTTTTTTGGCTTGTTGTTGTATTAAGTACTTAAGTATATGTAAAGTATATGTTTTTTGTGCCTTATCAATGTTAGATAAGAATTATTAGGGATTATTCTGCACTCAAGCTGGGTGATAGAGTTCACTTGTAATTTGTTGAGGTATAGAGTTCACTAATTAATAAAATCTGTTCGAAAGCAAAATCGGGTTGGAAATGTCAACAAACAGACACATGACATTGAAACCACAAATAACTTAACAATATGTTATTAAGTAGAATAAAATGTTGATTTGTCTATTTAGATGATAATTTAAGAAAATGTTATTAAGTAGAATAACACTGTATTTTATATATATATATATATATATATATATATATATATATATATATATATATATAAGAACTGCATTAGTGACACTATCGAAGTTATTTGTGCCGACTATGAAGGGCACATGGCATGTGGGGCACATGACACTATCCATTGTTAAATTGAACTATGGATCAAGGTCTGAAACTGAAGTATGTCATTGGTTCTTTGACTGAACATAGGTATTCAAACATCCAAGCCTTTGCTTTCTATAAATTTATGAATGGTAAACTCTGTATTTCATTTTCTTCATTAAATTCTTGGAAAGTCTTATCTGAATGGATACTTGACTTTCCTATGCTGTCTTTTCGTGATTTTACTTTAAAGATTTGACCTTGTCATTGAAACAGTAAGGGCATTACATGCTTAGCTTTCAGTATGGATGGATCCCTGTTGGTGTCTGGATCAGAGGATGGCACGATTTGAGTTTGGGATACTAAAAACCACAACATCACTTGCATCTTTAGGCATGGAAAAGGTATATTTGATATTATAATATGATGGTAATAGCAAGCTCAATCAACTTTTTAGTTTCAGATTTTAGGATTAAATTAAATTTAATATATATTGTGGACACAAGTTTTAGGTATTCAATGAGCTCTAATGAACTGACTGAACTTGCTTTAGCCACTGCAAAAACCTCCTCAACTTGAGGTCCAAACTGGTTATAGGATTCATTGAGAAAATAGCATAAAACTTCTAATGTATTTGGAAGAGCTATGCTCTTTTGGCATATCTATTTGCATATCTAATGTAGAAGTTTTCCTTTATTCTAACTTCATGCCTTATTTATATATGTTGTCTAAATCTTTCATTCAATTCTGTTGCTTCAGAAGATTTTTTTTTTCTTGTGGTCATGCCTTCCAGGTGTCATGAATCCACATGCTAAAGTGGTGCAGCGGTGGAACAAATTCTTTGTCTTCTCATGTTCATTTGCAATTTTTATTGATCCCTTGTTCTTCTTTTTGCTGACTGTGAATCAGGTATTCATTTAACTGTGGTTGTCTTAGATAACTCTTGCACTTCAACTGAATTACATATATGCGTATTGCATTTAGAATCTGTCTAGAAATTTGCTTTTATGAGGTGAAAAAAATGATATTTAGCATGTATCTAATTTTTAGCAGAGTTTTCTAAATATGATTTAGAATGATAAAAATTTCTTTCTTTGCCCACCATGTAATAAACTAATACTATTTATAATAGATTACTTTGTGATATGCAAAATGTTGGTGATGCAACCTTTCCTAAAAGGAAGATAGTGACATAAAACATTACATAAATATTGGCTCGTGTAAGTACTGATTGCAATATATTTCACATGACAGATGAATCTAGTGAACTCCCAACATTAAAGCACTCTGTTTAGTTATGACTTAGAAGTCAATTACCATAAGACACTAATCAAAATCCGTAATAAAAGCACCGTACCAATTTTTATCTGTGTTTTTAATTTCTACAACATGGTGATGCTAGAGTAAATATATGTGTACCATAGGTAGATAAAATCGAGCTCAACACTGATGAATTTATGGTCCAACAGAAAGCCAAGAACTTATTTGTACAATTGTATTTAGCATTCTTTGAACAATTTCGAGAGTTCCTAATTAATTGGCTTTTTTGACCAATTAAAAATTTGTAATGTTCTTACGTGCACACATGTTTTTCAATTTGTTTAGCATACCTGCCTTTCTTTTGTGTGTTTCACTGATTTGTATGTTTTGAATTTCCCTCTTTGAACAATCAAGATTTGGCACTTAGTATCCATTATGTTTTTTTCCCCTATTCTTAACTGCGGGCACACATGTGTTTTATGATGTTTTGTTTGTCTTTCTACTTTTGTTATAGGATAACAAATGCATTGTACTGAACTGGCCCTTGACAACCACAATTGTGATTTTGAGGAGCTTGACTAATTTCATATACTTAATACACATGCTACTTCAGGTGACTATTCTCCTCACACAGTTCAGATCAAAGGCACTTGTCGAACATGTATTGCTGTTGTTATTATTATTAGTATAATATGATGCTGTCACTGCTTCCTTTGTGACAAATCTTCTAACATTTATGCTGTCTAGCCTTGTGGTGGGGTCATGTTGGTATCTTTTTGGCTTACAGGTATGAAACTAATTTAGATAATTTTTAGATTTTGGTTCCATGACTTTAATTTGCTGAGGTTTACATAAGCTACTTGGATAACCCAGGGCAAAAAAGTTTATGAAGCACTTCATAATCATTAAAATTCTCTCTTGGAACTTATATGCCTGCAGTATAATTGGAAAATGTATTTTAAAATCATATCTTCAATGTATAGGCGGCCTTCCTTCAGCTCTGTCCTCCTTATTTTTCTTTTTCCTACTGATCCTGCAGAGGGTGAATCAAGTGTTACTTTGAATGCCATGCAATATATTGTAGACAAACTTGTAGTTTCGATCTCACCTAGCTAGCTTTATGATTCTTTGAACTTCTCATTAATTAGTAGAATTATGTATGTATGTTATTCTGCATGTTTAGGCAGTTGGAAATGTCACTGAGGCGTCGCGAAGTTGAGAAGTGGATGAGCCACCGGCCCTTGCCAGAGGGATTAAGAAGGTACCTTATCTAGCTAGCTACTTTCTAAGTTTTTCTTTTTGAATCTTTCTGCTCTTCCTTTGCTATAAAAGTTCAGGACTTGCAAGAATGTTGTGTGCTCGTTCCTTTATCCGCCACTGGCTGCCTTATGCTGAAACAATTGCTACAAAACCTTATTAGCATGCATGTTTAGCTAATATTTTGACAAATGTATTTTTGATGGTGAAACAATTGCTACATCTTGATTTAAATGATTGTTTAATGTTTGATTTTCTTAAATTGTTAATTGTATTGTAGAATTTAATATTGTGGTGCTGAAATTTGTATAATTGTAATAGGTCCATAATTCATTTGATATTTGTAGAATTGTTAATTTCTAGTGGTCGGTAATTCCGACCAATTACCGACCACTAGTGGTAGAGAATATGCTCTCTCTATCCGACAACTAGTAGTCCCGACGTCCTCAACAAGAAGCCGGTATTTCCGACCACCTTGAGTAGTTGTCGGTAATAGTTAGGGCTTTTTTTCCGAATCCATAAAGTGGTCGGTAAGTTGATCGGAAACTGCATTTCCGACCTGAAATCTCCCTTTTCCGACCACTTTTTGGTGGTCGGAAAAATGCAGATTTCTAGCAGTGACAGATAAAATTTCATAGGGAAAATTGCAGGGAGAAGGAAATTAAAAAAAACACAACTTTTCTAAGGGGGGGTCAAAAAGAAAAAAAGAAAATACATATCAAGAAAAGGGAGACTTACCTTCTTCTGGAGCGGTTTTAGATTCAGAGAATGTGAAGAAGATGAAGCAGCTAAGCGCAACAATCCATGAAACAGCAGTGTTTATTCTGGATAACATTGTTGTTAAATTATGTGCGCCAATAATGATGTGCCGTACTATGAATTTCAAGAATCTATGATGGTATCAGAATCAGTGGATTTACTGGATGGATGATATGGTCCTATATTACAATGTCTTCTTTTCTTAGACTACGAAATGTTTCAGTTTCAGTGGGAAATGGTGAGCTGAAATGTTCTCTAGAGAGAGAGACTGCGTGGATGAGAGAGAAAGAGAGTGTGGGTAATTTTCTTTTTCTTTTTTTTTTTCTTCCATTTTTTTTAATGCTAAATAGCTGTCGGGGACGTTGGATTTTTTTGTCAGGCTGCGTTTGCACTAGTCACAAAAGTTTTCTTGGTTGACTTTGTTGTTTCTAATTTTTTAAGGAAAAAAAATTGTAATTTTGGTACCTTAATTATTTCGATTTAGTTATTTTAGTCTTTCATAATTATTAATTACACAATTTGTTCTCCAATCCTCATATAATTGAATGTGTGCAATTTGGTAAAATGAGTCACTTTATTTGATAGTAAATATGAATTGGAATCAACTTTGGTTAAGTGGAAAAGTCATTCATCCTTAACAAAAGGTTAATAGTTCAATTCTTTGTTTTAGATATAGAGCAACCTTAAATGCCACTTGTCCCAACGGTAAAACCTCTGGATACACTAAAAAGAAGAGTTGGAATCACACACATCTATGTATTAAAGTTTTATATTTAATACATGGACAATGACCTTTTTAGTTTTTTATTTTATTTTATTTTTCTGCCTTATTTTTTATTTTATTTTCCAAAAGTAAAGAAGTTAAAGGGTAATGAGTTTTGTGATTACTACAATATTTAATTTCAATAATAGGATAACAAAAGTAAGCAAACAAATATGGTAATGAGTATCAAAACACATAGTAGGGTGCTTTGAACCACGAGATAGGGACTCAGGTCCTGGATACGTTGCCGCCTTACATCGACGATTTACTTTGGGAAGATAGAGTCGGGGCGAGGGCCAAGCGTGGAACGTCCTAGTCTATCTTTTTGTTCTCTCCGGGCTTTGTCCCTCCTTCTAATCCCAAAAAATAACAAATAAAACATTTTCTCTAAAAATAATAAAAAATAAATAAAGGCTAAAAGTACTAAATTTGAATACTGATAAGGTCTGTCTAACCCTTCTACCATTTTGAGAGGGAAAAAAATAAGTAAATATATTAGTAGTGTGAATATTGATAATATACGTATACGCAATTGCATGCAATAATGGTACATGTAGTATTAATTTGAGAAGAATCGGGATTTAAAATAATATATACAAATACTACAATGTAATAGAGTTAGTAGCATTCAAATAATAATATATATATATATATATATATATATATATATATATATATATATATATATATATATCTTATTTGGTAAGCAAATGAAAAATGGAAATTTATAAATTTATAATTCTCATATTTTTCACCTATAAATACAATGAGTTGATGACTACAAAAATTATAAGTCTTCATTTTATATTGCATCCTTTTTTTCCCACTAGGTCTTCAGCCTTGATCATTCAGTTTAGCCGCGTTTCGAAATTAACGGTAGGTTTAGCTAGATACAATACGTTTTTCATGGTTTTATTGTCCAAATTTAATATTTTTTTTAGCGAAAAGCTATTCATATCATATGCCTAGATTATGATTTATTCTGAATATTTTTACGGTTACTTCCATTTCATATATTGATTTTTTTTGTTTCTATTGAAGTTTCATTATCATTGATGAAAGGCAGCCTCATGTGAATCTCGCTTTGAGTGGTGCCTACTCCTGCCCGTTTAAAAGGATGCTGAGTGCTGACTCCTCTAATCTCTCTCTTCATTTTTTTGCTATACTGTTATTGGTCAAGAATTTAAAGTGCCACACAATAAAATGTGTGACTCACGGGTGATTGGAGAATGGGGAGTGATTAAGTGTTTCTGTTGTAATATATACGACAAGATATAGTAGGAATCGCCTTTAATACACCAATTGACTATTATTATATTCTTCTTAGTTCTTT